TGAAGTGTAAATAATATAAATGTAGTGTATTAATGTATAAAAACTGTTGGCTTAATGTTAATTTAAATTTAATACTTTCTAATATAATTAAGTTAAGAGTTGCTATGGAACATTTTGTACTTCAAAGAACCGGTTACTCGATTTCCTGAAAAGATAGCCAAGTCTTGTAGATGAACTTTCACTATTTATAATTTTCCTTTTCTCAGAAAGTGGAAGATTACTTCAGGGATGCCACCGATCTCATTACAAAAATGATCGACTTGCACCAAAGATTGACTAGTCTGGACGGTTTCCGCATGTCGGAATCCGACGACGACTTGGAATCCTATTGGGTGATGAGCACCGAGTTAACTTCTCTAGCCAGACAGGTTCTTCAATCAGGTGATTATCAAATTAAATGCAATCTATACAATCGACGTCTGAAGTTATATTAGCTTCATCGGAAGCTTTTAGTCACTAACAAGTTTTCAGATAATATACAGTGTTCTTCTCTTAAATAACCTTTGTTCAAAAATTTGTTCGTTATTACAACCGTTACGATATATTATAGTAACGAATCAATCATTTATTTTCCATTAATGTGCAAAACATTTTATTATGAATTGTTTAAAAACTTGCTACCATATGTTGTATGAAAAATTGTTATTTATCATGTAAAAATTTTTAACACTGACCGAAACCTTTCGATGAAAGTATTAAATATCAGACGTTGATTGTATGGATTGTTAGACTGCATAGACATACGCGCGCGTGACATCGTTATCGATCGCACGAATGGGAATTTCCTGGTCTGCCGTATAATCGAGTGGTACACGTGGATCGACACTCGGATGCGGGGAGATTCCAAAAAAATTGAAAAACCGGCTTAACCGGACGTCGAGCAGGAACGAACGTCTCTTTGGTTCCGTGGCGAGAGTCGCGTGCTCGAGGGAACAAGGGTGCAAAAACGTTGACAATGTTCTTTTTACTTTCTGTCATGAAACACTGCTACCTTGTAGGTACTTTTTAGGCTTAAAGGATAAATCCTGTTGAATCGTCTGAACGTGAAATGACGAACAATAGACTACTATTACGTCATTATAGTATTGCATATTATTATGTTAATGTACTATATGTATATGTATAATAATTAGATACCCAGTATAATTTCTGTTTATACTAAAATGCATAAGTATTTAATAGAATAATTATATAGCATTAGTTATTTTACATAATTACAAATATTATTTTGTAATTAGTGAGGAGACGAAGAAAAATGGATTGGTGTTAATCGTGGACGCACGAAGGGGTGCGTGGCGCGTTGCAAGGTCGTGCGTCAGGTTGTCTACGGTACTTCTGGGCTCGTATGGCGCTTCAGTAGTCGTGGTACGACCAGACGGTTTCTGGGACAAGAGGGTGGATAGTTGCACAAAATCTCATAAAGAAGGAGAAGTACGTTATGTATTGAAGAACTAATTCAATTGTTTCTGGTACCAAATGGAATATGAACCTTATTCTTGAAATATCTGTAAAAAATTAATTAAATAAACCGGAACAAGTGTAAAAGTAAAACTTGTCAGCTTTTTCTTGAAAGTGATTTGGTTTAGCCTTTTTTATCTTCGTTCTAGATAAACTGGTTTCTCTTAATTCATTCCTTGCTTAATCGCCGCGTAATGAGGAGTCTAGTCGTTTACAGCGTTCAGTTCCGCCTAGTTATTGCACTAAACGAGTATACGCAAGCTTATCAAAATCATTTCGCTGCGAAATACTGTGGGAATAACGAGTAAATCGCAAGTGCAAGCGCACGGAGACACGTGACGCGAATTAATCCGTTGGTCGTTGTTTTCAGCCCCAGTACCTCACTCTGTCGAGGCTTCAGCTTCACGTCGACTACGCTCAACTCCCATACGAGCTGGGTGGCAACAAACTCTACGATCACGCCGAATGGATACAGAAACGTGTGGTAATATTCTATGATTTATCAATTTTTGCATGAAATGTGTTTAGTTCATTTATTTCTCTTTAACACTTTAAGACGAAAAGTGTATTCCCGTAAACCCATATTTTTGGCTAATTTTTTTAATAATAATGACATTCTGTCTTATCGCGCTGGTATCAGAGTCTACCTCTTAAATCAAAATACGAATGAGAAAAAAAAGACATTCTGGATACAACAAAAAGAGTTCATGAGCTTATCGATTCCGTCGAATTGAAGCAGGTAGATGTTTCATTTGTTTGAAGAAGAGAAAGATGCACTTTATCTAACGGTCGTATATTGTCATTAGCTGGACATCGAGAACTCGTGGTCAGAAATGGAAAGGAACTTGGATATAGCCAGGGTGATTGGTGACCTCGAGAAAGGTGTGTCGCGTGTCACGGACTGGATTCTGGGACCAGCCGACGCAATGTTGAATTCCTGTTGCCAAGTTGGCTTCGACGTCTCTTCGTCGGAGGAACTTCGTAGGCGCCACGAAGAACTCGAATTGGAATGCAGGGTAAAAAATTATGCGCCCCTCATTTGAACAAATATAATTTTTATAAAAAATAATCGTCTGAAAGAATCGTCTAAAGAAATTATATATCAAATAACTTGTAAAATGCAGAAACTGTATAGGATTTCTTTATTTGCTTCATCGTTTAGGAAACTTATGGTCGCTACGCTGAACTGCTACACAAGATTGACAGCCTCCCGAGTACGCGTTCGTCCGAAGATTTGAAATCTCAGCGAGACTTCATGGATTTCGTGTGTCGGAGTTTCGCGAACAGGCTGGAGCGACGACGGAACGTGCTAATCACTTCGCAGAGATTCTTCAGGCTCGTTTCCGAGGTACGTACACTAAATCACGAAAATATTCGAGCACAATTTTTTTGACATTAAATAAAAACAACATAATTTTCCATGGGATTAAATGGGATTTCCATGGGACAAATACTTTCGTGCGCCATTGTAGGCACATTATTATTAGAATGTTGAAAAAAGAGACTATTCTAAGAAACAGATTTTTTCCACTTATGCTTTCAGTACTTCGATAAAACGAGTGAAGTGTTTGACAAATTGGTGATGGGTAACAGGACCCACGATTTTTCTCAAGCCGCGATTAATCTTTTGAAATTACAACAGAGTCAAACCGTTCTAGGTAACGCTTTTAATAAACTTTAATTTTTCATTGAATTTTCCGTGATGTAGCAAATACTCGAATTTATTGTAGAAACTTTGGAACGCGAGTTGGTGAAGGAAGGGGAAAAGCTGTCTGACATTCTGTCGATGCCCGTGAAAGACGCCCTTGGACGAGACGTGCACGTCGATTATGGCGAGGATATAGTGAATGTCAGAGATATTTTGGATGCGACCAATGCCAGGAAGAACATCTTCAACGACAGTGTCGAACTGCAGAAGCTGTCTCTGAAACAGATCTCTTTAATATATACTTACGAGAGCGACGCCGAGCAGGTGACTGTCTAATTTTAGAACACTCAACAGCGCAGTAAATCTTACTCATGTGGATAATCCTTCAGGCTGTGAAGTGGTTGAACGACCTGTACGATGTTCTGTTAAAAAATCATATGGAGATTGGCTGCAACGCGATTGAAATACAAGCGCAGAAAGAGGAACATCAAACGTTTCAAGAAACTGCTAAGGTATAAGGAAGGAAATGCAATATTTCTTTTCCTTAACAAAGTTAAAGAAAGACTATCTATATCCATATAAAAAATTTTCACCAACTAAATCATATAAATGAGCTAAATATTTTTGCTAATTATAATAAATTGCACATTTCAAGTTTTTAATGCTAATAAATTGCACGTTTCAAGTTTGTAATGCTAGTAATAGTTGATTCTGCAACACCATATTTCATGATAGAATATCTTGCACATTATTCACGATCAAGTTTTTATGTTATGTTCATAGAAGATAAGATGATCTTAAGAAGGTAATGGGAGTACAACTGTAGTTGTAAATATTTTTATGTCTAATTTCTTAGGGGACGTATGATTATGGTTGTCAATTGGTGAACGGTGCTCGAGTGCTAAGATTATCCTGCAGGCTATCTCTGGAGAGCAACGCGACCCTGTTTTCGAGATTGCGTCAAGCCTGGAAGCAGCTCCGATCCGTAGGCCAGGAACAATTAACCAGGCTAAGGGTTTGCGCTGTTTTCCATAGGAGTGTCGATGATGTATGGTGATTTCATAAATTCATTTGCGAATTCCTGAATTCTATACAATTCTAGAAATCTACAGTCTACAATTAAAAATTAAAAATTCAATACTGGAACTGCCAAACCAGTCACAATAACTAGTTTTAAATGGAGAAATACATGTATAAGAAAAAAGACGGTAGTTCCAGCGTTAAAATTTTTTACTTCTTAATTATCTTCCTAATTAAGATTTCTAATTTTACCTAAAAGTGATTACGGTTCGTTTTCACGCGACACTAATTCTTGCTGTTTCCCAAAGCACTGTTCGCAGCTACGTGATTTGATCGAAGCGGTAGCATCGCTGCGTCGCTCTTTGAAACCGGAAGACGTAACAGCGGAAGCTAGAGCCAAGGCAGAGATAAGGGACATCCTAGGGAACCGTGAAAAACTGCTGCTCGAAGTCGGTCGAATGGTGAGGCTGGGTCGTCTCCTAAGGACGCGGTTGAAGGAACCTCTCTGTCATCAACGGCAAGTACGACTGCGATTCGAAAAAGATCCTCGATCATTGACAAATGGACATCATATAAAAAAGAAAATTAGGATACAATCTTAGATTAGAATTTCATTAGAAAATGATGAATTTTTTTTCGTTTACCAATGAAATTCCTTCGTTTGAAGTTTTTGACAAATAATTACAGCCCTGATGCGAATTATTGTACAAGCAAATAAAAATTATATTTAGGCTGTTTATGAACATGTGAGAAATTGAACTAAATGTAAATAGATTAATACAGCAGGGTTCGTGTCTTTTAAATGAACAAATATCAGCAAATCTGAAATAGCATTCCGTAAGCCGCGAGCTTTCTCGGTAATCGAAGCGCTTGAATTCCTCCTCGCATTTTGATCTGATGCAATTGAGTTCGGGCAATGAAACCTAGCCGTTCATCGCGCGAGCAGGACAAGTCGAGTTCGCGCGATGCTGCAGAGAGAAAGATCGCCGCCCGCCGGCGCTGAACTAATATAAGAGGCGAGGAGGGTTACGGTAACGTCGACAGGCACCTCCGTTCGTTTTTAACGGAGGCGGTGTGTCAGTCCATGGCTGCGCGTCGACCGGATTGTACCTACACCTTTATATTCGCTGCATGTAAGTCCATCGAGAGTTTCGAAATATAAACGCGCGTTCTGCTCCCGTTCGATCGCCGTTCCCAGAATCAATTATGCTAACAGCACTTTCGATCATTCCTAATCTGAATTGAGTTTTATTTAGAAATTTCTTCTCCTAATTTGTCAATAATTATGTCTTCCGTCAGTTTCGTATTTCACTTGAAGTTTTATACTTATTCCACAAGAAATTAAACTTTTATTTTTTTGTTTTGTTTTTTAAATTATTGGAAGATTTTTCTTATTTCTTTATCACTGACATTTTGTTTGTCAAATGCGCGGTTTGTTGCGATTCGCCCACGTGTTAGTGCAACGAAATATGGGTCACTGGCGTTGACGTCTGCGCCACCGTTTGTATTTGAAGAGATGAGACGTCCTATTTTCATTCGGCATGAGGATGGTCAGGGCCAAGAAATTTGCTACGTCTTCTAAGACTAATTCATTCGCGAATCGCGAACCTGAACCACGGCCTATTGCAGGCGGTTCGAAAGTGCTCAGAGATTACTGGAAAATGCAGTCGACGTCCTGGCTGCGAGCCAAACCGACCGAACATCGTTTTAAAACCGATGGTTATTTTCTCTCAATCCTATTTGTTTGAAATTTGTCTTATCCAGACTGGCCATTGTTCCAATTGTTTCTTGATCCGAGCACGTGCGCACAAATTTTCGACCCGGTTAACAGGAATGGTCATCGAGCAAATTTCTTGGCTCTGATCCATTCGATATCTGATCGATCACATCGCTTCAAATGATCTCCACAGCTTTTTATTACGTGTCTTAAACTTTTGATAGAGATTTTACAGCTCATAAGATCTTAATGAATTACTGATGAGTTCATTCATACATCTAATTGATAAAGTATTATTTACTATCAATGTGCAATCTCATCGATCACGTGCTAGTGCAACTAGTAAGAGTAAAAATTAGAAATATCAAGAAAGAACTTTCGTTTAGTAAACATTTATACTTCGTGGAAAGCGTGAGGATAGTTATAGACCAGGCTTCGATACGCACAACACGGATTGAATATGCCGCTTAAAAGTGACGCTATACAGATTCGCCGGCTCTTGGTCCACCGAAATTAGAACTCCGGCCCACATTGAAGGCACCATCTGGTCCGCGAAGCTGCTGTCATTCTCCATTATGTAATTCTTTTGAAATTTGACGTTTTCTCAACACTGTATCAACTTTTTGCTAATGGATGCTAATAATGAGCATTCAGATACAACAATAGTTTCTCATATGCATAGAGAAGCTGATATTCAAACATTAGGGATCACGTAACTTTGTATGACTTGCTAACATTTTGCAATAATATTCGTTTGTTATATAACAGGATAATATTAGTTATTTGGATACTCGAAATTTATTTAGCAAATAAATGTGAAATACAAGCTGAAATACAAGCAACGTCGATACATTCGTTAAGAATGTAAATCTAAGGAGGTTTTACTGATTCTGCACAGATAGGAGGAAATAGCTTGCAACAGGTGATCAAGTTATAAAAGAACAGCTCGTAAAAACGTGGTTTAACGATGCCCTAAAACCATTTTATCTCAAGTCTGCCGAAAATGTTATTTCCGATTCAGAAAAAGAATTTACGCTTTCAGCTCTTTAATGATCGTACATCATTAAACGTAAAGTCACATTATAGATTTATCACTTTATTACTATTTTATTACTAAACTGCAGGTTTTATGTATTTATAGAAAAATGAGAAGTGTCGGAGATGTAAAAAAACATGCAATAGGTTTAAATGGAAAAAACGCATCATAATGTCACGCATCAATGATACAATACGTATCATTCTATTTAAAACGTAAAAAAGATGTTTCCGGTAAAAACCAGCAGTTTATTTATTATTTGATTGTTCCATGCACGTTGCTAAACTTTAATTTAAACGTTATTTGTCATAGAATTGTATCAAATTAAGAATCGCTGGACATCATTTTAAAGTAGAGATTTCACACAAGCTTCAATTGCAAAGAAAAATCATCGTTTATTGCTAAATCACTAGACTGCTGAGTTGCATGCAAAACAAAATGTTTACAAGAGAGAATTAAACAACGAAATTTAAATACCTTTTCTGTTTATTAATTAGATGTTGCAGCATCCACTTTGCTTCTAATTTTTTCTATGCTTTAGTATATTGAATGCACTATTCAAAATTCAGCCCACTTATGTATTTTATAAATACATAGAAATCATCTTCTAAAGGGCAATTTTCTTCACAAAATTCGTCACGTTATGATTTTTGTTATCAGTACAGTTTTGAAAAATTAGTACAGTCTGATTTTTCTTATCATTCATATTCTACAAAGATCTGCAGGCGCCCAATAGCATTCGCTAAAGACACGCTGGACAAGTTGATAAACCTGTCTAGAAAATGACTAATAATAGCCCAAGGCACGTAGCTTGAACGAGGGAAAATTTATTTTTCCAGAATGTCTGAAGCCGAGGATGCCTCGGGCAAGGGCAGTAACCTGACAGCGGTTGAGGCGATCTCGGCGAGGCTGGCGGAAGTAACGCGGCTCGCCGAGAAACTGGACGCGAAACTCTGCGAGGCTGGAGCCAGGACTCGACCAGTTACCATGTCGTCGTCCGCGATGTCGTCCACATCCTCTCTATTTTCATCGACGAGCGCGCCCGCGACGACCACGACGACTGCGTCCACTCAAATCCAACCTGTTCCCAGCGAAGCTAGATCGATCGCAGCTACCACAATAGGAGTCACGGCTCCATTGATAAGTTCCTCGGTGTCCACGGTGCAGCTTCAACCCAAATGCGTGTCTACTATCTTGACCTCGGCCACGGTGTCCAGCGAGAGTGTCGCTACATCGGAGCCGATGATGTCTGACTTGATCATCTCGACAGCTGCGACGGTTTCAAAGAATGTGGAGGAAAATGTGAAGATTGATCGTGATCTTGAAGTGGAAGTGAAACAGGATGTTGGTTTGGATGAGCCTGTGATGAACGACGAGAAGAATGAAGACGTCGCGGAGATGAGCGAGGTTTGTTTATTTAAAGTAGTTCTTAGCCAACTGTGTTAGTCAAATGATACTTGGTTAATAAATGACAGAAAAGTTAAATGTTAGTACGTGATAAATGGGTCTAAGATTCAGCACAAGAATTCTATAATACTAGTTTTGCTCCTAATTTGAAAGCAACCTTGAACTTTGAATTTACTTAAGAGCTACCTTAAGAAA